ATCACATCGCCAGCCTCCCCATGGCCCGGCGAAAGTACCTTCTACATCTGTTCCCTTCCCTTCTCTACCCTTCTCGTCACATCGCCAGCCTCTCCATTGTTGAGCGATGGCACATTCTCCGGCTATTCCCTGTCCTTCTGGCCCTTCCTCATTACACCACCATCCTCTCCATTGCTAGCGATGTTACATTCTCCACCTGTTCCTCTCCTTCCTGGCCTTTTCTTGTCACATCGCTAGCCTCTCCATCGCTGAGCGATGGTACATTCTGCATATGTTCCTAGCTGTTCCCTAGACCTTCACGCGGCATCGCCCGCTTACTGCTCGCCTGGTGATGTCCTTACTAACGATGTTCCCGTCTACTTCCAATCCTTCGTGGCGCATCGCCCACTTGCTGCTGGCCCAGCGAAGTTCCCTCTAACAACGTTCCTGACTCCCCCCCAGTCCTTCAAAGTGTATCGACAGTCTCTATCAAGCTGGGCGATGGTGTCTCTACGTCCCATCTGCAATCCTTCTTGTGCTTCGATGGGCTGTGTCTGGCTGGGCGATGTTACTTCCGACCTGACTCCCCAACCCTTCTCGGCGCCCCGACAGCCTCCTTACAGTGGGGCGATATCACTTCTGTTGCGGGTATGCGACTCTTTCTAGCGTATCGATGGGCTGCGTCTGGCTGGGCAACGTTACTGTCAACCTGGCTCTGTTATTCTTCTCGGCGCACCGACACCTTGCTTCTGGCGGAGCGGCGCTGCAGTTCACTTTGCCTCGATCAAACAGCTGCCACTCGGTGCAGGTTGGCGGCCCTAGCGAAGTCCATTTCTCCTACTCTAAGTGTTGACTTCGGATGCGTCGGCAGCCTATGACATCGTTGGCGATGACAATTTTCACCTGTTTTGTTATATATTCATCTCATATCGATGCCGTTCAAGATTTGGGCGATATCTCGTCCGCTTCTCCCTCGTGCCGGGTCATCCCATCGCGCCGCGCCGCTGAAGGTGAGCGACTGCGCATTCAATCTACCCGCAACTCCTCTCAGCCCAACATTGCCGCCATTCGCATTTGCTATCGAAGGCAGCTTTCACTTCGTTCGACTGCATTGTGAGAGGTTGGCGGTGTCACATGTAACTAACCTTTAACTTGGACCAGGTCATCTCATCTTGACACGATGCTCGCAGGCTGGTGATCATGTATTTTTTCACTTGCGCCAGATCTATTCACTCGCGGTCGCACGGAAGCTTAGCGATCTGAGGTGCAGTTCTGTCAGAGATCCATCCGTCTCTTTTCGCCATCCACTCCAAACCCTGTCGGTAGCACATTCCATTGTTCATCTGCTCATTGATAGCCTTTCGCTAGGGCCTTCCACATCTAGCGCCCTTATTACGAGCTTGTTCGCTTTTTTCACTGTGGCATGCCCGCATGACTTGCCCAGTAGAGCGATAGCGCGATCAGTGAATCTCTATTTTCTTATGCTTCGGTATGGGATCATCGACGCGTATCTCGTACCTGGCGATCCTCAATGCCTAGCAGTTTACCATACATGCAAATACGGTCCGTATAACATCGCTGCGTTGCATCGTGGCGGCGATGAAGCTGCTCCTGGGCTTCCGGTAACACCACTACGGAAACTTTGATCTTCGACAGGGCTTCCCCGCAGATAGCGACACTACCACCCCCCTGCAAATAGAAATGACATCATGCGGTGTCCACGCTGGTATGCCGTAGCGATCCTCCCTGCATTACATGACATCCAGAATCTCATGCACCTGCAAGTAGAAAACATTGGTACACATGCTTGTAATGCCCGTACTTCTGATTATGAGTTCAATGCAACAAATACTGCGTAACACTTCCAGCCACTTTGCTCCCAAATCGCCCATGCATCGATAATGCTGTTCGAATGAATAATCGTTCTCGATGCAGTTGATGGCGGCAAAATATCCATCAGTCCCGGATTGCGGCTTTTCCCTTGCCGCTGAAACGCGGCGGCTTTTTCTCGGGGACAAAGTCTTCATCAGTATCCTCGTCTTCATGTACAACAGGTCGACGACGTGTTGCGTACCCCGTAGTGGAACTGGGTTCGTCGCTGTCGTCAGCATCGCTATCGACAACGAAGCGTGAGGGACGGGAAAAACGCCGACTTGGCCCCGCGATCATCTGCTCCTCCTCCTCCTCCTCATCATCTTCCTCGGCTGTAGTCGATTCAGGATTCCACAGCTCTTCTGGGTGCGCATCTTCAATGTGCGCCATCATTTTCGTCGAGAGTTTGCCGACCAACCCACGAGGAATCTTGTTGCAGATTGGACATCGTAACATGCTATTTCTCTCCTGCGCTTTGAGCTCCAGGTTGATCGCACGCATCAGTTGCGATTTGCGGCTGTGGGTCCCTGACCTTAAATGCATGTTCAGTCTCTTCTGGCTATATAACGTATCCTTGGCCTTTTGCGGTTGCGTCGGATCTGCTAGGCATAAACGACATTGTAATTTCGCATTTGGCATCTCGCAGTCAGATTTCATTGCCCACATAACTAGGAATTCGTTTCGCCGTTCTTGGTGGGTCATTTCGACTGATTGATTTTGTTGCTTGCGTTCTTCTACGTAGTTTCCGTCGCTCCGGTCCACGCGAATTGTAATTTCATCGGCAAGCCCGTCCCAGCATGCAGGCTCCGACCGTCCGCCCTCATGCGTCTCATGACGCTCCACGGTTTCCTCGTCGAGATCCTGTTCAGATTCATCGTCCTCGGTCCAGTCAACATTAACCGTATCCACAACTGCTGCGGACCTTCGATCCATGTCGGTGGAAACGCGCTCAAGGCCAATAGTGGCCGCTTTTGGCTGATACCCTTTGCCCGGAATGGCGCGCGATGACTGGGTCTTGTTGATCTTGAGGATCTGTTTGTGTTCTTCTAGAAGTTGCTTCTTGATGTCATTCGTTAACCGATTTCGTATCCCCTTGTGTGCGATTTTCCGTTCTTTGAGAAAGATTTCGAGCTCAGCGACTTCTGTATGGAGTCCGTACTGTCGCGCCATTTCACGGAGACGTGTCCCCGCGTGAGAAGCATAGATGTGCGGAACTACGCAGTCAACATCCATACGACCGGTTTCCTTGAGATGGTCCAATTTAAAGAGCATCTGTTGGTACAGATTGGCCAGTGCAAGCTCAATCTCAACGTATTGCGCGTCGTCCTGTTTCGCTTCCGCCACTCGAGCTTTCAATGCTCCGCGCAAGTCGACAAAGTCTTCTGATGCAGCAGGGTCATAACGCAGTCTTGCCTGTCCCGCCCAATGGCGTATCTCCTTGGACGTCATCCGTGTTTCGCTGATATCCAGTCGATCTGCTGTAATATCTGTATCCGCCAACCCTTCGTTATCGTAGGAGTCATTTACGGAATTCGTTCCTACGTCAAGATTAGCAGAAACTCATCATCTGAGTGTAGACGAGAATTTTCACCGGGCGCGTGGTTTGCCAGACGTTTCGCAGCATCCAATCCACTCTTACGGAGTGTTTCGATGATGGCGGTTCTTCGAAAAGAGTAATATGTGTACCGGACCATGAGACCTATCGAAATGCATAACTCTTGAAGCTTGGTGTTGAGGGCGTCCATCCTCATCGGCTTGCTCACGTCGATTCCGCCCGCCCGTGTTGCTTGGACAAAGACCGCCTGCTCCTCGATTTCGGCGTTGGTGCGCAGAAACTCTTCCTCTCCGTCAAGGACAGCCTCCAGGCTTTGATACCCCACGAAGAGCCCCCGGTTCCAAGCTAATCCCGTCAGCATCAAAGCGAGATCAAACTCAAACCGTGAGCCCAACGTAGGCAGGAACGTAAAGGTCTTGGACGGGTCGAAGTGGGCGCCAGTTGCGTGGGGATTGCGATATCCTTTGTGGTACCGTAACGTTACGCGGACGGCGATGTCGCCATCCTCGAGACGACGAAAAGCTACGTCTTTCCAGTAAAGTGTTTGCGCGACCTCACGCACTGTACCTTCGATACCTGTACGTGCCCCCTTGTGGTAGCGCTTGGAAACTGTGAAGGTGCCCGGTCTCGCCGATGTCGTCCAGGCCAGCAACATCGCCACATAATGTTGCTTATAATTTTGCACGCCATAGGACTGCCGCATGATATGCTGAAAAAATAAGGACAGCTCCACGTCCGAGAGGTTGTTCTTCTCCAGGAAAGTGGTGCCGAGGCCTTCGGTCACGGCGATGTAATGAATATGAGCGGAGGTCTTGTTGTGCCCTAAGTTGCGCGTGCAGGTCAGCAACGCTCAACTCCGGGTAGGCTGGTGAGTCTACTTACATGCGTGGAAAACCGTGGAGAAATCCAGGATGAAACGAGTACACCACCAGTAGATGGCCTGCTTAGCAATCCACAATGTCGACGCTTTCATTTTCGCCTCTATCGTTCCCGTCTGCGAAGCGGCGAGCGCACCAAGCCACTCTTTGGTGCGATCCGTGATTGTGGCCGAATTCCAGATGCCCTCGATGTCAGACACGTTGAATTGCTCCTCGACGTATTCCTCGAAACGAGCCCGCGCTCGTGCGCGAGAGTCCACGACCGTAGGTGAGGAATAGTCGTAGAACTCCGATGCTTGGACAGCTGCCCTCAGCTCTTTCACCTTTTCGCTGTCGGCCTTCAGTCGATCCCATTTCCGCTTGTCATTTGCTGACAACTTTGCTCGCGGCGGAGCGCGCGACAGCCCCGCTGACATTCTGTCTTTCTGTTGCGCTTTGAAAGGAAGAAATCACAGCTCAATTTTTCGCGTGTTTCAAAGTCAGAACGCTGATGTGCGGTGTTGAAGTGTAGGAAAACTGACTGGCGAAGCGAGGAGATGGATGTCGTCCAACGCTCTTGCCCCGGCTCGGCCGTGCCTTCCCATGTCGACACCGCCATACCGCCATTGGGTTCCCTCTAACTTCCGACGAGTGGAGGTTGCCTCTGATTCGTCCATCTTTCCTGGAAGGTTCGACTGTCGTCACATCTCGAGAGAAGAATCTCCTTTCCTCAAGCTCCAAGTCGCCCGAACTGTGCTCGCCGCGTCTCCTGCGTACGCGTTACCTCTGACGGTAAACCTTTTCGTTGTTCTCGGATGTCGTTACACACCGCGCAAATGAACCCAAAAACGTTCAAGAGGTGGGCCAACTCTTCCGACATTAGATATGACAGTAAAGTTAACGCCAACGGATTCTAGACTCTCGAATGCAAAGATGAGAGATGAGATGAAGAAGATCGGTCTTGATGAAACAGGACGGAAGGTCACATTGGTCGAGCGTTATGAAGCGTGGTGGATCGCGACATCTGAGGTGCGTTGCATGCTGGTACTCCCTCCGCAAAGCTCGCACTTCGCTAATACAATGACTGAAGGGCCAGGAATCCGAGCTTGCACAAGAGCCTCGAACAGCTGGCTCAAGCAAGAAATCCGACGACTCAGTCGGTGGCCGGGCCGGAATTCTCTCAGTGCTCCTTTTCCCACACGCTACCAAGATCTCCGCAGCCACGGCTTCCTGTCTCACGTTGCTGGAGTACGGGAAAAAAGGCGAATTCAAACTGAAAGACACGACAGAGGATCTCTCAAGTTTTCTCATAGACGTCAAGATATTCGTTGAAAACTGGGTAGGCGCGCAGCGGGAGGTCACGCCTGCAACAAGCTCCAATATTGCAAGAAATATTTATGAATTGGAAGCTCAGCTGAGTAAACGTCTTTCATTGTCGCCCGTCGACCCGGATATCGTCGGACTGTTAACGCGTTGGGGTCTTCGTGACGTTGAGCCTGCCATATCTCCTCCCAACTACGACGAAGTGTCCACAACGCAGAAACCTCGCGAACAGCTTACTGCATTACGAAAAGAACTTCATATCGTGGAGAACGCCATGAGATTCAGACTCTCTAGGTGGCTGACATCCTTCCCGGGCGAAAGCGTTGACCAGGTGTCCTGGCCCACATCCTTCAGTATCGAAGAGAAAAACGCAATGAGGGAGTTCATCAGGCGCCAGATGAGTGTGGAGATGTGGATAGAAGAGAGAAGCAATGAAGATATCGCCATTGATGTGACGGAAATCCGAAATTCCGAAGAATTCGAGAAATTCCCTGTCGTCAAGGGCAAGGCTGCAAGCATCGTTACTCAAATTCTCAAAGAACTCCGCAACACGAAGACTCGCAGTGAATCCCGCAGTGAAAACCGCAGAGCCAGAAAGAGCGATAGCAGTATAACAAGTTCTACAAACAGTACGGTTTCAACCAATCCTTCCTCCACAATCTCTTCTGGTGCGTCCGATTCGACTAAGCGGGCGCGAGATGAGGACGACGATGCGCTGGGCGAGGCCGCAGATTCCAGAGCTCTTCATGCGCATTCTCGCAAGAGGGCGCAGAACTAGGATTCAACATGGATGCGGAGTTTTTCTTTCTTAACCGCATGATCCCCTGTGGAATCCGCGGGTCTTTATGTCACGTTCTAATCGAGCAGCGCAGAAGATTCAAGTGTGCGGTCATCTCTTTTCCACAACTTTGCAGTATCGTATGTGTATCTCAGAGGAAATTTCTCCATAATTCCATACTTTTCAATCTATATTCATTTGCTTTCCTGGGAGTCCACTGCTTCAGGACGTGAGCCATGCGCAGGCACGCACTTCCTGTGCACTCGTTTTCCCAATTCAATCGTCCAAGTTCCTTAACACCTAGCCAGCCTTGCTCAATCTAGGATTTTTTTGTTCTATATATTCACCCAAAGCTGCAGCGAATTCCTTAGACCCCGTTCCACCTAGGCTGCTGCGGGTTGCTCGACTTGAGTAAGATTGCCTAGATCGACAGACATTTTTGTCGGATCTTTACCTCAACTGCGGCACCTCTGACCGCTAAGACCGCATTTCTTTGCTTTTCACACGCTGGCGCTCATGTTTCCCTGTTCGCCTTCACAACCCATATTGATCTGGGGGCATCTCGTCGTACCCAATATAACCGCCAAAGCTATACTCATTCAGACCATTATCAATTTCGGTGTCGTCTTCGCCACCGTAACTCTGCTTGCGGTTTTTTCGCGGTTGGTAGCCAAGAAATCCGGTGTCGTCATCCTCTGCCTTCATCTCCTTTGCCTTGCGTTTCTTCGGTCGTACTCTCAATCCGAGGTCTTGCTGAAGTTTAGTGATGCTCTGGTCATCATTCCATTCACGTATATCCCGTTCAATGAACCAATCTTTGCAGATATCAAATAGACCACTGGTGTTTTTCTGTACTTCCTTCAGCAGACCCTGGAGCAGTACCTGCAGCACTCCAGCCCCGCCGATCTCTTCTTCAAACTTGGGAGCCCTCTTCTTGAAGCGTTTCACGTGAAAATCTGCCACGTTCACGATGTTGTCCGCGTAACCCTTGAATCCACGCACTCCTGTTACGGATCTTCGGGTTCCTGGGAAGAAATTCGGCATGACAGAGTCAGCGCTCGAGACTTTCTCTGAGGCCTTCGGTCCTAGGGAAGTGTTCTTCTTTCCACCTGATGGCTGTTCCTGGACTGGTATCTTCATGTAAGTGCTTCCTTCCTTCCATCCATCAACAGCATTCTTCCCCTCATCAACGTAGTTTGTTATGTTGTTGAAGGGAAAGTCGATGGTCACTCCGTGCTCGTTCAAGACGTTTCCTCTCTCATCGATGCCCCATCCGAGGCGCAGCTGGTATACGATTCGATTGGGAGGTAAGTAGAAAGGTGCAGGTTCTGTCATTTTCTTATTGCATTCGGGACAATTGACCTGTTTGCTGCCTTCAGCTTTGGAGCCATACGTTACCCAGCCGGTACCATGCTCTGTTTTGCATCGCATGGCGGATTCTCCTTGGTGCTTCTCCAGTGCGGTATCCGCGTGCTCTGGAACCACGTGGCCATGCTTCCACCAGAGCATGGCAGTAGTCGGTTTCTTCACAGTCAGCCTTATCCGCTGGGGGGTAGGCTCAACGATAACCGTAGATATTGCGCGCCTTCTTTTCTTATCGCGTTCCTCCATGGCGTTTGATGATCGTGTCTTCGCATCTTCTTCGTTCTTGATCTCCCTTTTCGCGCGAGGTGCCTTCTTTGCCCTGTCGCTTTCCACTGAGATTCCTGACACCGGAGTAGATTCCTTCTTGACAAAGGCTGTACGAAGATTTCCGCTACGAGCAGGCGAGTTCATACGTGGGCGAACAATCTCCTGGACACCGGAGTCATCAGCGAGCATTCCTTCGACATCAATTGTTTCCCGTTCTTCAGGTCCATTCGCCGTAGTAAGCTCAATGTATGCGGTTTTCAGGTTCTCAACGGAGAGACCGCCTTCTTTTTTCCTGGCGGCTTCTACCGCCTCCGGGGGAATGTCGAAAGGATTGCGGTATCCTCCCGCCAATGGAGCTGCCAGCATAAGAAGATCAGCGGCAACTTCTCCCAGTAAGTCTTTCGCTTTCTCAACACCTTTCTGGACTACGGCCCGTCGGATTTCGCCATCCTCCAAAACTGTCACTTCTCCCTTGGCGCTCACTACTTGAACTGATGGCGGTATGGTGTCGAGCGCAATTTCTCCGAACAAGATGCTCGTCGCCGCCAATCTGAGCGATGCATTGTCAAGTTGCGCGAAAATGCGATCTTTGGCGAGGGTGGTACGATTCGATTCTTCCATGGTGACTTTGAAAGCCTCAAATTCTTCTCGGATATCGCATGCTTCCTTCTGAAACTTTCTCGCCGCCTCTGTCGCTTCCTCTAGCTTCTTCTCGCGCTCCGCTTCCTTCTCGAGCGATTCTTTGCTGATTTTGTGGAGCTCGTTGTACTCCTCTGCCCTCGTCGGCCATTCTTTGGTCAACCTGGGCCCGTCGACGAATCCTGCAGCCAGAGGGACTGCAGGATCATGAAATTGTGAAAGCTTGGAAAATATTCCAGCCGTGTCAGCTGCGGCAGTGGTGGTAGAACGCTCACATTCTGCCGTGTCTTCGGTCGCGGCCTGCTCATTGCTTGCGATGACTTCGCTGGAGATTTTTGTCTCGCTCTCCGAAATCGGTTCATCGCGGATGTCTGAGCCGGAGATGCCGGGCGTGGGCTCTCCTTCTGAACTCGCCATGGTAGGTCGTCCTTCGAAAACGGCTGGCTGTAAATGGAAACACAGTTGGCGCGAGAAATTTGCAGGTAGAGGAGCAGACGAAGGTCGAAGTGGGGGAAAGAGTGCTTTATATAGGTGGTGCGGCTCCCATTTCTCTCACCCAAACACCTCAAGTGAGATGGTTTTGTCGCTAGTCGGAGCTCTCTCACCACGACGGCCATCGTAGGAATCTTCAGAAGTCTTGTCAAATGTGACATGAACACTATGCACGAGACCGCGGGAATCATTGGTAGTGATACTTTCGGGATCTATCCACGAAGCATCGCTCACTGTGACCGAGTTTATTACTACTTCTCGCTGAGCTAGGTGTGAGCTGGGAACATTTGCTTTACTCGCCGGTCTCACAATTCACATCTCGCATCGGGCGGTAGATCGCAGCTGGCGGACCATCATCTACGCACGATCACTGGCAAGGTCATTGCTCATCGACCATGTGCTTCTTTCTCCACTAATAATAACAAGATGCCCAATGAATCGTCGATGAGCACAAGCGAAGCTGACGAAAGCCGCGACATCAACGTCAAGCACGCTCGATAGCACCGCTGGCTCTTACAGCGGCTGGCGGTGAACGCCATCATAACGCTGCACTATTTCTTGGTTCATCCGTCGAGGTTGGTCAAACTCATGGAGTTGGTATCGACTGACTACCATTGCGATGCATCGCTATGGGCAGAAGACCGCAGCGATACATCTTCGATTCCCCACACATAATGCAGTCGCAGCCTTCGCTGCCAGCATTGTCCGCGGCGGGAACTACCCATGCTGGGAAGAAAACGCGCAAGGGTGTTGATGAGCGTTACGAATGCTCGCGGAGAAGCAACTTCCCATAGCACAGACCGTTTCACTTGCATCTATACTAGCCCAGCTGCTGGGCGAATATCATAGTGCATAGTCCATATGGTAGTCTAAAATACACGGAGCTTATCTTCCCACTTAGCGACACTATAGCATCAAACCCTTCCTGAAATTAATGCCAAAATATCGCTTACTCCCCCGAGATTTAGCGATAAAAATGTTGGTTGTACGATTAGTTGACAACTTGCAGTGATGTGCCCCAGTCGATATACACAGTGTAACTCAGCGAAGCGAGATTCACTATTCTCTATACTCCACTTGCTGGAATCTCTTCCACGCGAGTATTTCAGCGATAGACTAGATCTTTCACCACCTTCGGTGTCGCTGTGCAGGTTTGCGGTTGTCGACGCCTCTGTCGACAGGACGTTAGCTGTTTCAGTCTGGAAACGAGCTTCAGCGATTTGCATTCCGCTTCACATCTTACCGGTAGTCCATTCGCATCAGCGTCGACAGGAACAGCAACCCCGGCGATAGTTAGTTCACGTCTTGTATCCATCCTTGCGCACTATCATCGACAGAGACAATAACGCGCAGCTATTTACAATTCAGACTTTGTCGCTCTTCTCCTCAATGGGTTTCGGCGAAAGCGCCCATGCTTAGCGGCGTCCATGTCACAGCAAGATTTTCATAGAACCCGTCATCGATGGAGGCTGGCGAGCTTAGCGGCGATTCGTTCGTTTTGCTTGAGCGACCATCAAATATACCATGCAGGGACTGCGATGTTCGTTTTCTTCCGATGTTAATTTTAGTACGGGAGCAGTCGATTAGTCCATTTAAACCCAGCAAGGTAGAGCTCTTCGTTGCACTCAGAACGCATCGTTAATAGCCTTAGGCCTAGTGATGGATGTCACCTCGTTCCTCAATACGCCAATCTTCTTTGATTAGATAACCTCACTGTAGTGATAGCTTAGGCCCAATTGTGCTTTATAGAAGTCTCCAACTTCGCTACCGCGGCAAAGAATCAGCGATTATGTTGTGACATCTGCTCGACCTCGAACCCTTTCCATGGAGAGGTGTAGAACAAGGCAAGAAATGTGAAACCGCCCAAATAGCTTAAGCTGACAATCTAATAATGTTATTGCGGTCTTCTCTACTTTATAATGCGTTAATGCATGCACTAAAGTTTGGTGGCTAAGCACAGCCTATGCCTCTCAACCTACGTCTAGTACATTACTGAACGGTATGCGGTCCCGACATCCTGAGCCTATAATATAATAAAGCGTCATAAATCTCTACATACACGTATTTAAAAAATAGCGAGGAAAAATATTGATTCTACCATTGGTAAGGATGCAAAAAGAATGTTAATGATTGCATCGGCCGGGCTGGTTAATGTTAGACAATGCAATTTTTTAGTTTTTTTTGGCAAAGCGGAGTAACTCACAATCGAACCCGGGGCTAGCCGACACTGTTGATCTGGTGAATACCAGGCCAATGGCAACGGCTAATTTTACCACTAAACCACCGATGCTGGTGATTGTGTTCAACAACTTGATGAAAGACCTGCCAACTTGTAGTATTATATATCAAGATTGTAATTTTGGGCAGAGATAATGGGAATTGTGGGGAAATCATTAGACGAAACCAGGGTCGATGCGGGTCGGCTACTAGCTCAGAAGACTTTGCGTAACTCCACTAGAGAGCAAGTAGAACATCAGGCACAGCACCAAGCGACACATGTGTACGCTACTGTTACTTGCTGACTGGACTAAGACGACCAGGTCCTGGGTCAGAACGATTAGGATCGAAACCATCCAAAGGCTCCGGGTTGCATGTCCACGTTGAGCTTCACCCTCACCTAGTTCCTGGATTTCCCACATGCATGGGGCTTCCTTTAGTGCGTGCTCCACGTCTTTTCAGCTTCATTTTTTCTGTATTCGCACACTCAAGCTGTTGGCTGAAAGTCGTACGAACGCCGAACATAACCATAGTACGTGGGTATATAAAACGACTAGAGAGGGCTGCATGGTCACTTTACCATGCGGATTCCCAGACGGGAGCTTATCTAGTCCGGGGTACACTAGCCTTTAATTTCGGACGGCCGGTCAAAATTACCGAGCGACTTAGCAGTGAAGTAGCTGGGCCCTTCAAAACACAAACCGCTACGAGACCTTAGCAGCTCCGTCATGATTACCGTGGATCTTATTCGTCATCATGGGGCTTTTCCTGTTTCCTCTCTCTCCTTACCAACACCACTTCTATAGTCTCCATTTCCGGGTCAATTATACCCGCTAGTCCGTCGTCATCCCTGTCAAAATAGAGCGCCCATTCCCCGGGACCATATTTGACTGCCATGAAGCCTTCCCAGCCCTCTAAAGTGACGCGCTTGTCTGGGCCCTTGGTAACGTCCCAAGGACCTATCACATGCGACTCTGATACTTCGCGGTTGCCGTATTTGACCTCGTGAGTATCTCTATCGACGTATATCCAGTTCAGTTGCGGCGGATCATCCGAGATGGTGGAGACCAAGCCTTCTCCCTGTCGGCCCCAGTTCTGGTCTGGATATGGGAGGAAGTAGCCTGCGAAAGGATGGTCGTCTTCGGAAACGTCTTCGTATTCGGGTGAAGCTACTGCGAGATACAACTGCGACAAAGTTATTGACACGCCTCGCTCCCTAAGAATTGGTCAAAGTATCGCACCTTGTCGTTGCTTAGTACTACTTCGCATCCATCCACTTCTTTCCCGGTCCGTGAGGCAGTTGAACAATTAACGATAAGCTTGGTTTTAAGGCCCCTGTGCTTCTCTTTGGCGCTCTGTCTTTGGCCTTGACGGACCGCTTCTGTGGTTCCTATGATTGCGGGACAAGCAGCAATCGCAGTAAGTATCCCAAGCACCATGGTTATTGAGAGATGAGACGAAACGCTTGTACAAGAAGTAGTGGCAGGTTGCTTGGGGCTTCAGACAAGTAGGATACCGCAGCTTGCGAGAGATCGTCTTTTAGGTCACGCCAGCAAGAACGAAAGAATATCAAGTTAGTATGAATAATCATGGGATTCGGGCGCCAACTAGGAGCCGTCGATGATGTCAACCATCACAATAGGACATATCTTGCCTCGAGACGCGTCATTCCCATCATGGTGATCCGGAATGTAGAAGCGCCCGTTGTCTAGACTAAATCCTTTCACTGTAGCCTGTTTGCCACGTGTGCAACGTTTATGTTTCGCCTAAGCCTGTTACCGAACTTAGTCTAGGTTCGGGATTTACCTCCGAGTAATTTGGTCCACTAAATTGGGGTTCCTGCTAACCGCTGGAATGGCATGACCTGGGTTCCATTGAAAATCCCGTTTATGAGTTTCTTTCCTCGAATACAGGTATGATAACTTGGATTGCGGGGGCTTGGTTATTATCAAACTCTAAGCGAACGTCAAGTGGTTTTACTGGTCTACTTCATTTCAGTGGACAGTGGACAGCCACCTAGCGCATGCAAGCGAGCCGTGAAAAACGCAGTACCATAGCTACAAAGATTCCGGCGAAACAGGTTTCTGCATAAAGCTAATATATAGCGTTTCGTCATCACGCCAAGTCAACTTTGGACAGATACAAAGAGGATGCCTCGCTATTCACACTTGTGTAAATTCCCCCGTTAAATCATCACCCATAAGTAAAACACGGCTCCGGAAGCTAAGAAAAACTTTACGAATCTACAACCATCATGCCTGAAGAGTAAGCTGCAGACCAACGGTCTTTTACCTTAGTTGTATCTCCTGGAACTGACGCTCCACTTCAAGGTCACCAGTCACCGATCGTCCAGATGAAAAGACCAACGATCGCAAGAAGCCAAAGAAGCTTGGAGGAGGCGGCAACGAGACTGAGGGTGCGCTTCAGAAAACGGCTCCCGCACAGGAAAACTCCGAAGACGATGAAGATGCCGAAACAGAGCCTGAGCCTCAGCCTATGCCAAAACGACGCGGAGGCCGCAGGATGGTGCCTGTCCACCAATCTCGTATCGCAGACCGACCCCCGAAAGTCGGCGAGAAGGATAGCAGCTTGAAGATTAAGATCGAGTTGGATCTGGAAGTTGAGGTAGAAATTTACGCTCGAGTGAAGGGTGATGTGACCATTGGGCTGATGTAGTGTTTCTGCAGGTCGAGATCTACGCGAGGGTGAAGGGAGATGTGACAATCGGCTTGTTGTAAGATGTGAGTTGTACATCTGTTATCAGAACTAAGTAGTAATTTATCATCCAGTACAACTTAAGTTAAAAGAAGCTTATGGGATTTGACCTGCGCTCCGTCGGTCAAAGTTGCACCCGAACAGCCCTTTACATCCATCATCGTGACTGGGCACGCTGCGAAGCTTGCACCTGTACGGTGCATCAGCAGAAAGCGGGGAAAGGTCAGGCCTGGACGTTATGTGGTGATATCATCGCCAGTGCCCAATCGTAAGACTTAGGAAGAAGTTTGTAATTGATAGGTCATAATGTTCACACTACAAATTTGCAGTGCTTTGAAGACGCTGGAATATAACCCGTTGTAGACGCAATATCTGGGTTCCTGCCGAGTTAGAGTTAGCGAAATGGCAATCTTAGTCTATCCAATGAACATTTCTCCAAAACTATGATCTTGAGTAGGGGTTTAATGTGAGTGCAGAACTACAACCTTATATGGCCCTTGGGTCCAAACAAAAACCACCAGTCAACATGAGATCTATGAGCGTCAGAGTTGAGACCGAAGAAGTACCCATTATTTCGCTTTGTCGACGTAGGAACTTGGGCTCACTGAAAGGAGCGGCACGCATTCGCACTCTTTTCAATACCACACAACCGCATCCTGCCCCATCTCACCCTTCTCCGCCAGTCCATTCATTGTCTCCTTGATCCTCGCAACCAAAGCCTTTCCATATTCCGGCCCAAGCGGCGGAGCCGGCTTTTCAGTATCCGGTCGCAGCCACGGCACACCTTTCACCTCCTTGCTCGCCTCACGCATCTCTTCAATCTCTTCTTCACTATATCCAGCCCCCAACAACAAAGCTTCCGCAGTGCGCTCGTAATTCTTTGACCCTAGGCCAGAATCCGACAGCACGTTTTTGTCGCCTTTCAAAAGCGCCGGTATCTGGTTTTTACCCGCTTCGGGTGTGAGGATGAAGTGAATGACTGTGTTTATTAGATGGAGGATCGTCGGCGAAGATATAGAAGGAAGAATCAGCACCTTCGATTTCGGGTTTGAGGGCCTCGATTACCCCTGCGCCGATGCCTTCGGTGCGGCCGCAGAGGATGACGGGAATCGAGGAAGCCATAATATCTGGCGTTAAATTCGAATCGAAGTCGATCGATTTAAGTGTTATTCTAGGGCAAGTAGTGTTACACAGCCCCGCACGCTTTTCCCTAGGAAGGCAAGTAATCGTGTAGCGCCGTAAGCTGGATGACATTCGATATGGGGGCCAAGACCAAGCAGGGTCCTCTACCTATTGGCGGCTGGCTTACACTTTCGAACGACCTGCAAAGAGTGCTGTCTTATCTGAGAGAATAGATGTTCAGTATAATTCATGGTGATCTGCTTTATGAAATAAATTATCTCCAGTTGAGGCCAGTTGTATGCACTCGACAGTCACTGCATTTGTAGTAGACCTTGTATATTAGACGTGAAGGAGACGGAAGACTTGTGCTTGCTTCGGTAGTATATGCTGCTAAGTTTGTAGACCTCCCAGCACAGCATATACTCAAACAAGGGGCTTTTATCACCTAGCTCATCCAACTGCTCATCCGTATACTGGTTCCTAACCTCCACCTCATCGACGCTCTTATTCTTATTCTTATTCTTATTCTTATTCTTATTCTTATTCTTATTCTTATTCTTATTCTTATTCTTATTCTTATTCTTATTCTTATTCTTA